TCCACACCCGGGTGAGGGTTTATTCCAGATTTGAATGAAACAAGGCTCTCAGACAGTACGACTACATCCGGGCACTTTTCACCTCATTCAGTAGCCTAAAGTTCCTTGAAAAATGAGCTAAGAGCAGTTAATTTTATCATCACAGGAAGGAAGGTCTCCAGTCATTAAGTTTGTCACCACCAACCTTACCATCTTCCACTCACTGCACCGGACAGTTTAGGCTCGTCTCGGAGTGAGTGGGCCCTTTCCTGTCACCACCAACAGAAGACGCCTGCTGGCCTCCAGGCCCTTTCATGCGAGCTGCCCGGCACCGCTCAGCACGGCCCACGGCGTGAGGGAGAGGAACAGCAGAGAGAGATGTCACGGAGACGAGGTTTCAAGCAATAACTCGAAAATCTCTGAAGGACACACACAACCTCCTGGCCCTCAAGGGGTGATGTGTCTCAGGGCGGGTCCTCGTCTTAAATTCCCACATGATACTGGGGGGTCTGCTTTTCTCTCCTTTTTTTGAAGGGAGAGAGTTAAAAATTGAGTGGCGATCACATGGGATGTGATGGAATGCAGTGAGTATTAAGAACCTAAACAAGAGGTAGAAACTCAAATTACACGCCAAACATCATTCACAGTTCTCATCAGCAGCCATTAATAGGGCACTGATGGCCAAGCAGTCATTTTCATCTGACTCTCTCTCCTGAAAGCGAATGACAGCTGTGAAATTCCCATCAGAGGTGTGAAGGTCACACGTAAGCCAATCTCATCTTTGTGATGTTCTAGAATATCAGGCGTTAGCAGCACCAGGGGGTCCGGGCAGGTAATCGCGCCCTTGTCCGCAGAAGTAACGGGGCAACTTCACCAGTTCTGGGTACAGCTTCTGTTGAAACATCGTTAAGTGCATAATATCCACACTGCTCTGGGCTGAATTCTGTCCCACAAAAGGCACGTGCAGGTCCAAACCCCCAGTACCTGAGGTGGCCTCATTTGGAAACAGGGTCTTTGCAGATGTGATCAGGATGAGGTAACACTGGAGCAGGGTGGGCCCTAGCCCAGTGGCCAGTGCCCTCTGAGAAGCGGAAACTTTGGACCCAGGCATGGAGAAGACCACAGGGTGACACAGTCAGAGGCTGGGGTGATGTGGTCTACAGGCCGAGGACACCCAGGGTCCAGTCGCCACCAGGCCGAGGATACCCAGGGTCCAGTCGCCACCAGGCCGAGGACACCCAGGGTCCAGTTGCCACCAGGCCGAGGACACCCAGGGTCCAGTCGCCACCAGGCCAAGGACACCCAGGGTCCAGTCGCCACCCGCTGCGAGAAGAGGCACAGATTCTCCCGCTGAGCCCCAGAAAGAGCCGGCCCTGTCAACAACCTGACCTCGGCTTGTGGCCTCCAGGGCTGTGAGAATAAATCTGTTATAAGCCACCGAGTTTGTGGTCATTTGTTACCGCAACCCTAGGACTGGAAATGCATACACATCACTCACTCACTCACTGGAAGGGGTATTTGCCTGTACAGGAATTTCACTCTTTGGATTACTTTCATGGAATCACAGGCTCCCTGCTGAGTTACCCACTTTTGCATTGTTAATTTGCTCATTAAAAACACACACATAATATTTAAACCCATCCCTTAAGTTGCCATCTTTAAAATTATCTAAATTGTGTGAGTCAGCTCTCTTTACTCTAAGACTATCAACCAAAATGTATCACACAATTAAAACACAACAAATGTTATCCTCTAAGGTCCAGCTCTAGCCCATCTGATGGAAAGCAGGCTCAGGTGAAGGCTGGGAGGGCCTCCTGTACCCAGAGTTTTCAGTGGGGGGCGTAGGGGTCAGCAGGGGGAACGGGAGGGAGAAGGAGAATGAACTCTTCTGGAAACAGGAGGGCCCCGGCCACCTCAGCCCTCCCGGCGATATAAAGATCCCTGCCATGAGCGAGACGAACGCTAAAGGATATTGACACATTAATTAAATCAAAAGAACCCCCATATACAGACGTGAGCAGAGCAGGGAGCTCCAATGAGCTGTGTGACGGGCAGTCACACAGCCACGCCAGCAGCAACATGCCTTTCACTGAACGTCGCTGCCCACGTGTAGCCAGAGGCAGCTGATGGCTCCAGCAGTTATACGAGGCAAGGAGGACAAAGTAGAAGATGGTAACACCAAGAAACGGGGAGGTCTCACAGCTCACTCGAAGTCCAAGCCCCTCGGCCTGGCGCCCACAGGCCACCGCCGTCACCTGTGGTGTAACCTGTCCCTCTGTCCACACAGTGGCGGGTGGCGGTGGGGATTGCACGGTCATGGCTTCATCTCGCTCCTGCATGACCATCAGAGGACTCCCACCGCCCCACGCTCTCCATAACCTGGGCCGCCACACAGTACGTGAACTTACACAACTCCAGAGCACTCTGTATGTACAGCTTCGTGATAAAGCACACACAGGCGACTGACAGTAACACACTGTACAAGAATGGCAACCGCTTCACTGCTACAGGCTCCCGGGCCGTAAGGAAACACTTCAGTGTGGCACGACAGCCGGAAATCACGTTTTAAATTCGTTTTCTTTCAGAAGCCACCAATTGTGGTTCCTTCCTACTGCCGTTTTGGGACCCGCCTGGGGCATGTGCACAGGGTGTGGGAGTCAGCTCCTTGGTCTCCTTAAGAGGGGCGAAGATGCGGACACCTGCCCGGTTCTAGGCAGGCACAGGTGGCGGGCCCTGGGAATCAGGGATTCGAAGGGGCTAAGGGGCTTCCAGGCACAAGGCGGCACCTGTATTCACGATTCTTTTGGCTCCAGAGCCCGTGATGCATGTCCATGGGGAAGCACCTGGGTGGGATGCTGCTTTGAGCTCCCGGCACCCGACCCCCTGGACCTGCAGTCCATCAGTGAGAGGACAGGTAGCCAGGTGAGCTCCTGAAGCTGAGAGAAAAGACTGGACAGGCGTTCCCCTGACCCAGGAGGCCTCGGGACAGACCCCCAGAGGGAGGACATGCCTTTGCTCTGCAGATAAAGGAAGGAAGCCCCTGGGGATACATGGTTTGCTTTTCTGCCCTTAAAAATCATATCTTTCTAAAACTGTATGTGATACCACAAAATCTGGTGGAGTAAAATGGGTTCCTTGAAAAACCAGAGAAACTGGGCTTCGAGATCACCATTTAGGTCCCCCCCACACAGGGTATAATTTTTACACTGACGTATGAACGAACATTCACAAGAAATGCCTTCATGCTAACCAAAATATAAAGCCATTTGCAAAGACATCACAGTCAGGTCCAAACGCAATGGGACAAACAGAAGATGCAAAGGGAAAGCGGCAAAGCCACAATAAAGACAAAACGGCACCAGAGAAGGAGGGACAGGTGTCCCTGTGTGAGACCACCAGCAACTCCTGCACCAAGCACACCACACAGATGAACCAAACATGCGAGAAGCCAGAGCCAAGTGATCAAACCCGGGGCCCAGGCCACGGGACCTCAGGACTAACTGGAATCGGAGTGTCCGAGGTGGGTGGGGAGAGGGTACAGGCAGATTACTCGAAGAGGTGATCATGTCACCTGCGGTCAGATAATCCAGGTCCTCAGCAGCTCGTGTCATCAAGCTATACAATAGCTAATCCCAAGGAATCAGTAGAAAACCCAAGAAAAAAAATCTCTAAAGGAACCTCTAGAGAAATCAAAATGCCTACGGCTAAAAGCCACGTTCAGACGCAAAGGGACAAATGCACCAGCATGGCCCAGGTACAGAGCCCAGGAGAGAGGGCAGACGCTTCCTCACCTCTCTAAACCACACAACTTTCTAGCACCTGTATCCACTTTCCATCAGACAGCCCGCTGTTAGCTCGTCGCATCCCACACCCAAGCCTTCGCGCTAACCTCTGGTCTTCCAAGGCTGCCCTCTCAGTGCGGTTCACGCGGAAAGTAGGCCTCTCTGTGATGTGACCGCCACGAGCCTTTTTGTATGTGTGCAAGCTTCTGCATATTAATGGCAGAGCCCAAGCAAAGATGGCCACAGAATTCCATCCCTCCGTACTTTTCTGAACGGTTCCACGGTATCCGGGATGAAAGTTAAACACTAGAACAGGTGTTACAGGAAACACATGAAGCTACTGAGGACTACTGCTAAAAACACATCTAAGGGACAAAACAGGGTGAAATGCTTAACTTACAAAAAAAAAAAAAGATAAAATGAAACAAAAGAGGATGAGACACAGAACAGCGAGGGAAGGGACAGTACAATACGAAGCTGTGCCTCTCCTCTCTTCAAACAAGACAAGCGCTGCCATGAAGAAAACGTATAGTTACCTGCATCCATATCTGCAAAGAATGGAACAGCCAGTAAGGAAAAGAAGGAACCAGAAATTCAGTGTCTCAGAGTTGGATTTTGAAAGGTTATACGGAGAGAAAATATAACTTAGAAAAATTGCATGAGAACTATACCTGGGTTAGGGAACGTGGGGGCTGCATGGGTATTACTATCATAAATTTACTTAAAGCAAAAAAAGAAACAAAAAAAAACATTATGGATATGTTAACTGAAGAAGTGAAAGCCTAATGGCACACGAAATGTCTTCTTCTCACGCAAAATGATTATTAAATGTTTATACTACAATATAAGGGGGAAACATACTCAAGCATATGGTGGTCGGTCATCGGAAAGGCTCGTGTGTTTGACTAAGTCACAGGACGTACGAATTAGGTATAAACTCCATGTCCAGATCAATGTCCGAGCCATATTTAAAGGAGTAACACTGGATTAACATTTGACAGAACTATCAGGGAAGAACTAAACTCAACAGCATTTCACGGTTCTGCTCCTGCTCCCAAAGCCACATGGCAGATAATCGGTCGGCTCAAACACTACACAGGAAACGCTATCCCTAAGGGTTTCTACTGCCTGATAGTTTATTACTTTCTTGACATGTGCTACATCACAGTAACAATTTAGAATGGGCTACAGAAAAAGTCTGAAACGCTGAGGCCCGAGGCGGCCTGGCCCCTGGCGTACCTTCGGGAGATTCCTCCTGGACGTACGTGCCCGTCAGGTACCGGTGCACCAGCGCCGACTTGCCGCTGGCCAGGTTGCCCACGATCCCCTGAAAGAAAGCAACGGACAGCTGGTAAGTGTCATGACGTCAGGCTGCTCGGCGACGTGCAAACGCAGGAAAAACACTCAGCGAGTCCCACCATAATCACAACCACATCAGCTGGACGGCCAACAACTGGCTCACTGGTTCCCCATGCTGGAGGAAGATGGACCCCAGCACCCTCACGACCGCCTCCCTTCTCATCAGCCTCAACGGCTCTGAGAGCGTGGACACTGTCCCCACCGCACACGGCGTCTGGCATGCGGTGGGGACATCAGCCAGCCCATCATGGATCGTGGCCCCTTCATACCCTGAGCAAGGTTACCGTGTGATAAATGGGGCACGGCGGCAGGAGAGTCAGACGGAAATGGGGACATTCTGGTATGCATTCCTTCGGCTTTGGGTGGGAGTCTGGAGCCTGGTGGGACCGGGTGAACACAGCCGCACCGCGAGAGGGTGGTGTCGGGGAGGGACCGAGGGTGAGGCCAGTACCGGCCAGAGGAGAAGAGCCAGCCTGCTTCTCCGGAACGCAGGGTCCATGCTGCAGGACTGAGCAAGGACCAGAGCGAGGTTAAAAATAACCATCAAGAGCCAGGGTGACGAGGGGGGCACTGCCCGAGCAAGTGACAGCAGGCTGGACGGGCTGGTGACGGGAGCCACCGTGAGCCGGCGGGCATTTCTCAAAAAAGGCTCCTCTGGCACCACGGCTGGGACTCCTGGACGTGAGGCCCCTCAGGAAGCCGTCCCTCAGTCTCATTCCCCCTCCACCTTCTCTGAGAAGCTGCTAATGAAGAACATCTTTGTCTATTTTAATCTTTTCCTCCCCCACTAGAACTTTCCCGTCTGTGTGCATGCACGATCAGTCAATTCCTTAAGAAAACAAGAGACCCGCCCCTGGACAGAGGTCCCTCCAAGAAGGAGCCTGCCCTCTGTGCCTGGCCACCAGCCCCAGGCCTCGAGGCTACACCTGCTCCCTCTGGCTACAAGGACACTGCCCCTGAGGTCACCGACGACTTCCATCTCTGCCACCCCTCGTCTTTCTCCTGCTCCTGACCCAGCCCCACCAACGGGAGCTGTAGACGACGTTCTCTCCCGTAAAGCTTTCTATCCTCCCCAAACCCCGCTCCTCTCAGCCCACGTGAGCTCCTCCCCTAGGGCTCAGGTCCTCCTAAACCAGGGTTCGGCAAGCTGCAGCCTGTGGGCCACATGTGGCTCTTTGGGGATGTACATGTGGCTCTGAAATAAAATTGAAAATGAAAATAAAACTATCATAGTTTCACTTATAAAATTTTTAAAGGATATTATTCACATAATGGTGATTATGTAAAAAATATATTTATGGCTCTCAAGTAATTTTTAAATTGTTGTGAGGGACAGGATTGGCTCTTCCAGGGGTCGGCAAACTTTTGAGACGGAACGTATCCAGAGAGCCGCATGTGGCTCGCGAGCCGCAGTTTGCCGACCCCTGTCCTAGCTCTTTCCGTTAGATCCTCAGCTCTAACGCCCCCGTGTGTGCCTGGACACATCCCACCTCTCCCAGTAAGCCACTAATTCCAGAGTCTCCTTCTCCAGCGCCACCCTCCCCTCCCCGCCGCGTACAGCCAACAGCAGCCACACCTGTATTCGCACCTCAGCCCTGCCAGCTCTTGCCTCTATGACCCCACCGAGCCCCTCACACCAGACACTGGAAGCCGCCCCCAGCTCCCACCGTGCCCAGAAGTCAGGGACCCCTGCACTGTGGAGCACCTTCACATACACAGGGGACAGCCGGTGTTGTCTGCTGGGTTGGGGAGCAGTCTTTCGCTCATCTCCCTGCCTGTGAGCTCCCTCTCCTCACCCCGAGAAAACCAGGGGGATTCTTTGACCTTACCTTAGCAAAACTGTTAACCCTCATCTCACGCCCCTGGGGCCACTCCCACTGCCCAGGCCAAAGCCCAAGTGTTTCAGGAACAGTAACGGGTGGCCTCCATCCCGATCCACGCACACAGCATGTCTGTAGACACTAATGCCTCCCCGCCCTTTCACCAGGGCACCCCTCTGTTCCCTGCGAGGCCAGCAAGGACACCACCTCTGAA